CCCCTCCAATGGTGGCACCCGAGTGCAGGCCACACCCCCTTTGTGACGCCACTGGTTGTATTATCCCCCCAGACAAAAGGCTCCCTTCCTTGCCTGTGAGTCAATCACTGTAACTGACCAAACTTCTACCTTCTCTAGTGAAGATTCTCATTCTCTCTAATATTTTATTGAGTGCTGGTTGGTTTAAACATACTGGAGGGGAATTTATCAAAACGGGAGCAGACATAAATCTGGAGTAGATTTGCACGGCAGCCAATCAGCTTCTCTGTCTCATTTTCAAATCTTACCTGAGCAAACTGAAGAGAGAAGCTTATTGGTTGCCAGGGGCAACTGCTCCAGATCCCCCCCACAGTCTTCTTCACTGAACCTGCTAAAGATTTATACATCCAGTGGGCCGGCTTCTCATAGAATCTCCTTCTGTATAGATCAGCCAATCCCGATCCATAGAAACATGAAAGGAAACATTGTAATGATTATATTGACGTTTGATCCAGAACCGATCATATTAACGTGTCGTACCGGTGAGCCCGCCGGCAGGAGTCATCTCAGGCTGCATACTACACGCCTATTAGCTGTTTTACACACACGTGCATAACACGCCACCGCTCCAGGTCCGGAAACCTTTATACACAATCGGGTGTTTCCATTGGATGGAGACGGTTGCTCCTAGTAACGCTCTGCCATGTATTTCCTGTATTTGGACCGGGATTGTCTGATCTATACAGAAGTACGTTAGGGATATAGAATGAGAATCCGGGTCAGCGGCTCCTCAGTTGATGTCAGGTGTTTGTAGATATCCCGGTGTGCATATCATTGTGTGCTCCCAGGAGAGTGTCATCACAAGGCAGATTGTTCATACCGCCCCCCCCACTTATGTGACTCGGACCCCTGAAATGCATAGGAGGAGCAGGGGGTGGGGTCAAATGTGTCAAAAGAGAATGAGCAGGGTCTGGGGGTGAAACATGAAGGAGCAGGGTCTGGGGGTATAACATGGAGGGGGAGGAGCAGGGTCTGAGGGTGAATCATGGAGGGGGAGGAGCAGGGTCTGAGGGTGT